ACAGCCTCTGGGACAGGAGTCCCCTGTGTTTCTCCTTTGCTAGCAAAGCAATAGACCTTTTTTTTTCCTTTTTCTCAAAACTGTGTCTCATTATTGGATTGTCATCAGGGACAAGGATGGAGATTTCGGCCACAGCTGCTGCTTGGAGCCATTGCTCTGTGCCTGTGGCAGGTCAGGATGTCGTGTCGTGGCAGGAGTGCATGGCACAGACCTGTTAGCCTCATGGTGGGGAGGTAGTAGAGAGAGGGAAAAGGGCTGGGTCCCTGTATCCCCTCAAGGGCATACCCCCAATGATCCAACTCCCTCCCATCTGGCCCCACCCCCGGCCCCACCCCCTACAGATGTCACCACCTCTCGACAGTGCCACAGGCTGGACACCAGGCCTTCCACATGTGGCCCTCAGGGCTTTCCCGACCCAAGCTTCAGCACAGGGCCTTTTTTAAGACCCTTGATTCCTATGGCCAAGTTATCTCCCAAATAGATTAAATGTCTCAGAACAGAGGGAAATCAGGGGTCTCCACAGCCTGAGGTCTGCGTGCCCCCACCCCACACAAAGCCTCCTGGATCATTCTTTCACCCTTTCTGGGGTTGGAAGTTATTCTCATCCCCCATGATAATTCATCCATTGACTTATCAGGCAGCACAGGGATAACTGGGAACCCAGGGGTGACGGATGCCAGGGTTCCTGCACTGGGAGCTCATGGTCTGAGGACTCAGAAAAACTGGATAATAAACAAGAAAACAACTGAATAAAAGGATCAGAGTGGCAAGGACCACGATGTCAATGACAGGCATCAGCACAATCAGGGAGGCTCTCTGGGGAGGTGACCTTTCATGGAACTCTGGGGATAAGTAGGTCTGTGTGGCTCTGTGGGGAAAGGGCACCTCAGGAAGGAGGCTCCTCAGCCCCTGCAAATGTCCCTGAGACAGGAGCAAACCTGGCAACAAGGTCAGGATGCCTGGGACAGTGTGAGCAAGGCCTGGGATGGGCTGGGCCAGGCTTGGTCTGGGGTGGGGGTGGGGGTAGGGGTGGTGGGAAGAAAGGGTACTGACCCTCTGAAAGGTTTCAGGTTTACAGCAGTGGCTTTACCTTTTACAAAGTGCCTGGGGTGGGTGGGAGGAGTCTGTGATGGGAGGGGCAAGCCATGCTAGGTAGGGAATTGAGCCTCAGGGCCACCTCGTAGCTCCTCCCCTTCACAGGAGTCTCCGTGTGTGTCTTGTGGCCAAAACAGTGGATCTGTGCTTTTTGGTGCTCCGTCCTCGCCCCTGCCAGCTCTAAAACACTTCATCTGAGGGCTTAGCTCAGCAGCGGAGCACGTGCAAGTCCCTGGGTTCAATTGTCCATATATACACATACATATAAGTACATATACCCATAGATAAATATATGTACATATAGAGACATATTTGTTTTTCAGTACTGAGGATTTAACCCAGGGCCTCCCACTTGGTAGGGAAGGAGTAGGAGGAGGAGGAGGAGGAGGGAAGAAAACAAATGAATGAATGAAATGGGAGCTCAGGCCCCGCCCCAGGGCCACAAGCACCGCCCATAGCTCCACCCCAAATTTCGGCCCCGCCCCCGGGACGCTCTGCTCTCCCGGCGCATCCGCGCGTCACTTCCGGGGCGGTGGCGGGAGCGTGGCTCACTTCCGCCCGCGGGGAAGCAGCGGCGGCGGTGGCGGCGCAGGAGGCCGTGCCCGGGCGCCGAGGGACCGAAGACGTACGGGCGGGCGGCCGGGGAGCCATGGAGCGCGGCCCCGGGGCCGGCGGGCGCGGGCCGGGGCGGTGAGTGCCGGGCCGGGCGGGCGGAGCGGCCCGGTGTCGGCCGCGGCCGTTTGGGGAGCCGGGCCGGGCCGCGCGGCCGGGACCGCCAGGTGGGAAGCCCCCGAGACCCCGCACCGCTGGTGCGGCCGCGGGTCCGAGGACCGGGGTCGGCCCGCGGGCCGGCGTCGCGAACTGCTGCCCCGCCGTCCGTTTCCCAGCGCCCACTCTCCTGGGGCTCGGCCTCCGGCTTCGGGGAGTGCCCAGCCCAGCCGGGGACTCGTTCCTGCCCGGAACCTGCCCGCGTCGGCCGCCCGGGCTCCACACTCGCCCCTGTCAGGCATCTTCCTGCGGGCTGGGAACCCAGAGCAGGCTTCCCGGTCTCCGCTCCGTCTCCAGGAGCAGCCGGGGCTGGTTGCACAACCCCTCACCTATGATGGCCATTCCGACTTAGGACTGCGGGTCCCGCATTTGCCCCAGGATGAAGTCCAAACAACACAGCAGGCTCAGGGGCGCGACCTGACCCAGCCCTGGCTCTCTGGGACCCCTGTTGCTGACCCCTCTTCCTGCCACGTTCTGCCATAGTTCGAAGCCTGCGGTTCCTGGAACTCTTTCACCTCCAGTACTTAGTCCCTGCTCCTCCATCTGTCCAGTCCTCTGACACCTGGTCACTTGAACCACACCTTCCTTCTGGCAGCTTTTCCATTCTGGCTGGCTGGGTGAGGTGCCATCACAGGCAGTCATATGTAGGTGTCTTAAAGTGTTGCAGTTATCTGGTTGTTTGTTGGTTCTCATAAGACCTAGCTGAGGGCTGAGCAGGGTGGCATTCACCTGTAATTCCAGCAACTTGGGAGGCTGAGACAGCAGGACAGCAAGTTCAAAGTCAGCCTCAGCAATTAGGCCCTGTCTCAAAAAACACACAAGTCTGGGGGTGTAGCTCAGTGATAAATATGCCCTGGGTTTGAAAAGAAAAAAATAAAAAAAGCCCTACTGAGGTGCATGTCGTGGCAATAGTTGGGGTTCTGGGTGCCAGGCGTGTGTCCCCAGTAAGTGAGGCATCTGGGTGTGCACTGCCCAGTTCAACCCATCAGAGACACACAGGAGGTCCCAGCATCTTGACTTGAAGATGCTGGGCCTCTACCTTAACAAACTGGTGGACCCTAGAGGCGCTTGTTATCTTCCTGTGGCTTCCTCTTCTCCTCCTGCCCCTTAACACATAACATCCAGTCAGCAAATTGTTGTTGAGCCAAAGTACATAGTTACTGGTCCTGCATACGTGGTGTTTCTACTTAAGTGGCCGGGATCTGGTTAAATTTATGAATAAAAGCAGTGGTGAGTATCATGGAGACTAGCCTGGAACTGTGAAAGTGTAGGAGCAGTCCCGGCAGGTGTGGAGGATCCAGAGAGCACTGGGAGTGAGATGCCGGGAGGAGAATGACCAGCAGGTTGGGGGGTGCTCAGGGTGACAGAGATCCTAAGACAGGATGTAGGTGTATGTCTTCTGGAGAACTGAGAGCAAGATAGTGAGACCTGAGAGGTGGTCCGAGCCTAACTGTAGGTCTGGCAGGCAGGTGGTACAGAGGGATGGGATCTGGGAACAGTGGGAGGCCACAGGACACCCTAGAAGGAAAGTGGCTTGGCAGTCAGATTTGTGGTGGGAAGCCTGGCGCGATGGTGCACGCCTGTAATCCAGTGGCTTGGAGGCTGAATCAGGAGTATTGCTAGTTCAAAGCCAGCCTCAGCAGTTTATCAAGGCTCTAAGAAACTTAGTGAGACCCTGTCTCTAAATATAAAAAGGGCTGGGGATGTGGCTCAGTGGTTAAGTGCCCCTGGGTACAATCCCTAGTACAAAAAAAAAAAAAAAATTGTGGCGTGAAAAGATGGATGTCCTGGAGGGACGCTGCTTGCTGAAGAGAGACTGCTGCGAGTGGAGGCCCTTGCCCCAGTCTAGGGCAGGGTGCTGGAGGAGGGGAAAAGGTGGTTGCTGTTGAGGGTATTGGCAGGTAGAGCCATCAGACCTGGGGACAAATTGGATTGGATCTGGAGGGTGGAGACCAGCCTTGTCAATCTGCAGGATTGCTAGGGGCCTCCAACCTGCTCCCTGAGTACTCAGACAAGCCTTTCTCCAGGACTGAGACCCCCTCCAAGCCACCTGTCACCAGCGGAACACCCCTGGTGGAGAGTATGTTGATGCTGACATTTCTCAGTCTTGACATTGTGGATATTTGGGCCTGGGTCATTCTCTAATGGGGCATCCTGGCCAGCAGGGTGCTGAGCAGCCTCACTCTATTCCAGGAGCATCTCCAGTTGTGACAATCACAGATATCTTCACATAGCACCAAGTGTCCCCTGGTGGGGGAATACCTCTGTTTGAGTGCCAGCATCATAGACTCTCCCTCTGAAAAGGACTCTTACATGAGGCTTGCATTCTGCCCTGTGTTGTCCGTCTGCCTGGCTCTCACAGCTTTCCTCCTTGTGCCACTGGATCCTGTGACTGTGATATGGCTCTCTCCAGACCCTGCCCATGTCTCAGTTCCAGAGGAACAGATGTATTTCTGCCCCACCCCAGCTGAGTCTGTGGGCCTACAGTTTCATATGCACTAGTGTGTGTTCCCATTTGCCTCTGAACCATGTCCTGATGGCCCAGTGTTCTTCAAATGCTGTGACTCAAAACTGGGCATAACCAGGTATTCTCTGTGGAAATTGAGCTGTGTGTTTGTTGCCCTTGTTCTGTTTGCAAAGGAAACACCATGGGTGCATAGGTTTTCCTCAGACCTGTGTTTTCTTCATCTGTGGTCTGGGACTCCCTGTGTGGTGGAAATTGCTTTGGCACTTTAGGTGTTGTTGGTTTAACACATTTCATGGCATCCTGCAAGAGGAATAATGTCTGAATCCCCAGTCCAAGCCAGGAATTATCTTCCAGTTAACTCTTCCTTTCATTTATGTCCCCTGTGAGGCAAGTGGCATCCACATTTGTACAGGAGGACACTGGGGCCCAGGGATGTTAAGTGAGTCACCCGAACTTAGTGAGACCCTGTCTCTAAATATAAAAAGGGCTGGGGATGTGGCTCAGTGGTTAAGTGCCCCTGGGTACAATCCCTAGTATGGAAAAAAAAAAATTGTGGTGTGAAAAGATGGATGTCCTGGAGGGAAGGTGCTTGCTGAAGAGAGTCGAGTGCTGGCGAAGGAGTTCCAGGCTCCCTAGGCCCCACTCTCCCACCCTCCTGCCCCAAGCACGGGGAAGAGCCATTGTTCCCAGCTCAGTGGCCTCTGCCCAAACTGAGCCTTTGTTTGCTGATTTCCTTTCTGGACACCAAGGTCCTGTGAACTCACAGGGAGGCTGTGGTAGGGGAGGAACTTGTGTACTCCTGGGTCCCCTCAATTCGAGACCTGTGCATTCCTCGGCTTCCCTTGTCATCTGGGGGTGGCCAGATGAAATATTGCACAGAGATGAACTGGGGAAAGGTCTGGACAACAGGATGGACAGAATCCTGGGTGTGAGGAGATCTCCCTGGACTCAGAGCTAGGGGTGTGTGCCAGACCTGATGGCCTGGCATGTCCTACAGGCCATACCTGGGTGGAAATGGCAAGAGTTGGGGATTACAAGCTGAGGAGGGGTGGCAGGAGGCTCCTTCTGGTGTGGGCTGGGGCTGGGGCTGGGCCTGGCCTGAGGCTGCCCGTGTAGCAGTCTGAGCAGGAGAGGATCAGACTGGGCCATGAGGATCTGCGATGAATGGGTTTGGGACTACACTTTCCCACCTGGCACAGGTTGGGCCCCCAGCTTCCCTGAAGGAGCCCACATTTCTGTGTCCCCTGCAGGGTTTCCCACTGCACGACGACATGGAGACCTGTGGCCGCAAGGCTCCTGGGGGCTCAGCTTGGACGGCAGTGGGGCTGGGCTGCAGCCTCCTAACAGGGCTTTTGTCTGGGGTGGTGGCCTGGGAGACGGCCTCCCCACTGCCTGCATCTTGGAGCACCCCTGCATCTCCCCTGCCAAGTGAGGCTGGGCAGCCTTGTTGGTGGGTGCCCCTGAAGAGGCCCAGTGAAGGGCCCGGCGCCCGCCATGAACGGCCTGTCGGTGAGCGAACTCTGCTGCCTCTTCTGCTGCCCACCGTGCCCTGGCCGCATTGCTGCCAAGCTCGCCTTCCTGCCTCCAGAGCCTACCTACTCACTGCTGCCTGAGCCTGAGCCAGGGCCTGGAGGGGCTGGAGCTGCCCCCTCAGGGTCCCTGAGAGTCTCTGCCGGCACCCCAGGGCGCTGGAAGGTCCACCTGACTGAACGTGCTGACTTCCAGTACAGCCAGCGTGAACTTGACACCATCGAGGTCTTCCTGACTAAGAGCACCCGTGGCAACCGCATCTCCTGCATGTATGTGCGTTGCGTGCCTGGTGCCAGGTGAGAGCTGGAGGGTTTTTGGGATGGGGTTGGGAGCAGGCAGGCATGCGCCTGGCCCAGGATGTGCTGTTCTTGGATCCCTGTTTCTATGCAGGGTGCTAAGAATGGCACTTGGCATGGCTGGTAGTAGCCTCCCCAAGTGCCAGAGCCAGGATGAAAGGCCATCTAGTTGGCATGGGCGTGGGTTCCCTTGTCCTCCCTGTCTTGATTCCTGTTACCAGTGGAGCTACTGCCCAGATTTGGGCCAGAGCAGGCCCCCACCTGTGCGCTACAGAACTACCTCAGGCCCCCAGTGCAGGGTCTTTCCGCGTGCAGTCCTCAGGAGAGCCCCCTCCCCCCGTGTGCTGCCTCTTGGGGATGAGGACACTGAGGCTCAGGGTGGGCAGGCCAGGTGATTCAAGTGGAACTCCAGTGATGGCCTTGCCACCTGCTCTCAAGGGCCATATCTCCCAAGCTCCAGCCAGAGGGGTGAGGCAGAGGTGGGGCAGTAGGCCTTCTTACCAGGCAGGGATCTGAGTCCAAAGGGCAAGCTATTACCTTTGGGCTGGGCTGGTACTGCCAGAGGAAGCTGCCCATGGGCCAGGGCCAGGGCCTGCCTGGTATTTGCTCTTGTTTGACTTAGAGCAAGGCCTCATCCCACCTCAGGTCTTACAGGAGGGGCGCAGGCCTCTGTGAGCAGCTCTGCCTTTATTCATGTGTGGGGCTGGGGTGGGCCCAGCTCGCAGCAGTGCAGCTCCTGGTCTAGGGAGGCTCCCAGCAGTGGCAGGGGTGTGTGCACCCCAGGGACTGTCAGGCCATTCCAGGAGAGTTTCTGCAGCAGAGATGGCCGCTGTCCAGTGGGGCTGGAAGTGGTAACTGCTGTAGCTTGCAAAGCTCACATTGTGGGTCCCCCTTCAAATGGGCAGGGAAATAGTAGTGTCAGGGGTAGGTTCAAAGTGAATTCTCAAAAGAGGGCATTGGGAAATCTGGGCGCGGTGGTGCACGCCCATAATCCCAGTGGCCCAGGAGGCGAAGGCAGGATTGTGAGTTCAAAGCCAACCTCAGCAAAAGTAGGCCCTAAGCAACTCAGTGAGACCCTGTCTCCAAGTAAAATACAAAAAAGGGCTGGGGATATGGCTCAGTGGTCGAGTGCCCTAGTTCAATCGCAGTTTCCTTCGCCCCCGCACCAAAAAGAAAAAGAGGGCATTGGGAACTGTCTCCAGTTGAGGTGCCAGGTTCACCTTCTTCACTGCGGCCCTTCAGGCCCAGCGCTCATTTCCATGGAGCAGGTGGGATCTGAAAAGGACTGTAGGAGCAGCAGCAAAATGGCAGAGGTAGGAAGGTTCCAGAGGACGTTGCAAACTTGATTCACAAAGTGGGCCTAGGATTGTCTCCCAGCTGAGGTGGCATGCTCACAGTCTTCGTTTTGGCCTATTGGGACCAGTGCTCCTTATTGCTGAGTATGTATAGTTTAAAAACAGCTTATGTGAGCACTAGTGAAAAACGGGTGGCAGGGGTGTTCCCGAGGCAGGCCTCACTGAATCCACAGTTCACATGGGCATTGTCCCATTCAGCTCAGGCTCACCTTCTTCATTTCAGCCCTTTTTGTCCAGTGTCTGTGATGGCTGAATATGTGCAATTAAAACCAGCTTGATGGGGCTGGGCTGGGGCTCAGTGGTAGGCCCTGGGTTCTATCCTCAGCACCACATGAAAAACAAATAAAATAAAGGTATGAAAATGCAGTTATAAAAAAAAATAAAATAAAAACAGCTTGAAGGTGCAGCAAGGAAACGGTGGTGTAGGGAGATTCCAGAGGAAGTGTCAAACTTAGTTTTTAAGGTGGGCATTGAGAATTACCCCTGGTGCAAAACCAGTGTCACTATGCTCATTTTGGCTGAATATGTGCAATTTGAAAAGAGCTTATGATTTGTCTGAAGCATTCCTTTCAGAAGGAAGCCTGACATCATGGCCAGTCAACCCAGTGAGAGGAGCTGGCCATTCTGCAGCCCAGGTGGCTTATGCCCTGGCCAATGCTCTTGTCCTGTCCCTGTTGGAACCTTGGAGGTGGCGCTGGGCCATCTTTCTTTGCCTTGCCCTTGCTGGTTGTGTGGCCATTTGGGAGGGAAGTAGATGACGTGACAGGTGCCTCTGGCTGCCAGGATGGACCGTCACAAGTCCTCTGCCCTGGGACAGTCTCCCCAGGCCAGGCCTGTGCTCCCGTCCCCCTGACCTGTGCCCCCAGGTACACAGTTCTCTTCTCGCATGGCAACGCAGTGGACCTGGGTCAGATGAGCAGCTTCTACATCGGCCTGGGCACCCGCATCAGCTGCAACATCTTCTCCTATGACTACTCTGGCTATGGCGTGAGCTCAGGCAGGCCCTCCGAGAAGAATCTCTATGCAGATATCGATGCTGCCTGGCAGGCCCTGCGCACGAGGTGAGGGCCACAGGTCAGCTGTTATGCTCCCCAGGGAGTGACCAAGCTTTCTTGGGGGGAGAGGAAGCACGCACCAGGTCCTGCTGGGTGGACCTTCAAGAGAGAGATCTGTAGAGTCCTTGGGGTGTAGTTGCCCATCTCCTTTTGACTGAGGTGGGGCCGGGCTGGCCTGGGATTGGGGAGCAGCTGCTCCTGGGTCCTCATTAGGTCCTCATTAGACCTTAGACAGCTGTCTAAGGTCAGTGAAGCTCTGCCAGGTATGAGAGGCTGGACAGAGGACACTGGGATCAGAAGGTGGTAGTTGAGAGCTGTGTGAGACGATAACTGGAAGCCTGAGACACAAGGGCCCCTTAGAGTACAGGGTGGGCGTGGCCTGCTCTGTCTGGATTGGGGGTGTGTGACTGTGGAGCACAGCTCATCCTGGGGCAGTGGGCAGGTAGGTCTTGCAACTGAGTCTGGAGAACTCTGTCCAGCATTTTGGAGCCCAAGTTGGTTGGGGGATCAGTGGGTATAGGCTTCAGCTCACACCTGAAGTCTGGGCCAGCCTGTCTCCAGACTCTTAGTCATGTGGTCCCTCTGTCCATACCCTGCTCTCCTGGTCATCCAGGTCCCAGGCAGTCCTCCCTGCTCCACCTCAGAGTGGTACACACTCTGCCCCTAAACCAGTGTTTGCAGAGTGCAGCTTCATCTTAGCAGTGTTGTAGAGGGTGGGCAGCGCAACCCAGTCTTCCTGCTCAGTGCTGCCCACCATGGCCCTTCCTGGCTGACTGGTTTGACCCCCTCTGGTAGGGCCCAGGTGCAACACTGGGAAGTTAGCAGCCCAAGGGAGGTGGGAGCCCTGGTCACCATGGAGATGTGCCAGGCAGTTCCAGAGCCCAGTCCCCTAGCACCTGGCACTGGGGACCCATCTGAGCATACCTTCCCCTGTGGCTCCTGTACAGTGTTCTCAGCCTGCTCACTTCTGTCCCCACTGCCTCAGGCGCTGGCAGAGTCACATAGCCCAGTGGGGGGTATGAGACTGTTCATCTGTCCTGCCACCTGCACTGTCCTGTTCTCTTACCTCCACAGGGACCTGTTGTCTTACCTCCACAGCTGTGAGTCAGTGGGAGGTAGGGAGACCTGGGGACAAAGACTGGCTCCATTCATGACAGGCTTTTTTTGTCCAAGCACTCAGCACAGTAGTGGCCATTGAGGCTGGGAGCAAGCCAGTGGGCCTGAGGCAGAGCTAGGGGTCTGTGTACAAGCTGGGGACCTGTATTGGTGGCCTTTGGGTGGGCAAAGAGGTAGAGTCAGATTTCCCTGTGGATTGTCCAGGTAGAACATAGGATGGCCTCTGTGCACCAGGAAGGGTGGCCGCTTGGAACAGGGTCAGGAGCTTCTGGAAGGAGAGCTGTGGCATCCTGTATGGGGAGGGTAGCCAGTGAGTCCCTACGTGGGAGCCAGTGCAGTGCTAGATCAGCCAAGGCAGAGCAGATGGGCTGCACACGGACCTGCTGGATGTGCAGGCAGCAGAGTGCGGAGGGGCCAGGCCCAGAGGTGGGAGCTGGTGGTGGAAGGCCATCTGGGTCCTGGCACCATTGTGTGGATGAGGTGGCATCTACCTGCTGCAGCCACCGCCACAACTGCTTGTCTGTGTTGTACCAAGCCCTTAGTTGGATACTGGGGGCCCCAAACTTGGCTGAGACATCCAGGGACACAGCCACCTAAGTTCCTAACAACCAAGGTGGGTGGGAAGGGTGCAGAGGAGGAGAGCCCCACACCCTACACGGGCAAAGGCTTTTTGTTCAGGAACCAGGGGTCCTGAAGCTGGTTGCAGTGTAGCGGCAGCAGGCTGTACCTAGGTGTGCTCTGATCAAATGTGGGGGAGGGGGAGAGTGGGAGTGGTTAGGTCCTGCCCTGCACCCCCAGCTCCCTCACCAGGTATACCTCCCCACAGCGAGTCCCAGTACATGCTGTGGTAGGAACACAGGGAGGAGGGTGGGTGCTGAGGCTGCTGCCAGCGCTATGTACCCATTTCTGAGAGGAGCGCAGAGACCTGCCCTGGTCACTGTGGGGGCTGCTTCAGGCCTAGGCTGACCTTGTCCCGGCCGCCGCCAGGTACGGCATCAGCCCGGACAGCATCATCCTGTACGGGCAGAGCATTGGCACAGTGCCCACAGTGGACCTGGCCTCGCGCTACGAGTGCGCTGCGGTGGTGCTGCACTCGCCTCTCACCTCGGGCATGCGCGTTGCCTTTCCTGACACCAAGAAGACCTACTGCTTCGATGCGTTCCCCAAGTGAGCCAGGGCACGTGGGGGTGGGGTGGGTAGTGCTGAGGGGCAGGGAGGGGGCTGGGCTGGAGCAAACAGCTGACCTGCCCTGCCTGGCCCCATTCCGCAGCATTGAGAAGGTGTCCAAGATCACATCGCCAGTGCTCATCATCCACGGCACGGAGGACGAGGTGATCGACTTCTCCCATGGGCTGGCGCTGTACGAACGTTGCCCCAAGGCCGTCGAGCCACTGTGGGTGGAGGGCGCTGGGCACAACGACATTGAGCTCTACAGTCAGTACCTGGAGCGCCTACGCCGCTTCATCTCCCAGGAGCTGCCCAGCCAGCGCGCCTAGCGGCTACCTGTGCACCACTGCGCCGGGACTTCAGCAATAAGGCAGCCGCCTGGACTTGTCCTGCTGCAGCCCTGGGGGCTGCATGTGGACCCCCAGGGCTCCCAGGCAGCAGGCAGGCAGCCGTGACCCCGCCCCGGCCCAGGGGCCATGGACATTGTACAGGAGATAGAGCTATGCTCTCTTCCTTTTGAAAGCAAAAAGAAGAAAAGACGTGAAAACAAATTAAAGATTTAAGATTTTAGGGTTCCTTTCCTTTTTGTGGTTCATACGCTTTCTGGGTCTTGGTGAGCTCCAAGAGGAGCAGGGATTCCAGGGTTCTTGGCTTTAGCACACCCCAGAGAGGCTGGTTAAGCCCTGTTCCAGGGCAGCCCTTGCAGCAAATTGCTTGTGGTTAGTTGCAGCTTGCTCTGGGGGGAGCCCATTCTGGACCCAGAAGTGCCAGGCTCCTCAGGCCCAGGACTGGGACCATGCGGCTTCCTTTGCAAACGGAGAACAGATTCCTAGAACAATGGCTGTTCCATGGATCTCCCCGGGGAGCCAGTTTTGAGGTTTGGGGTCGCGGGGAGCACTCCTGTTAGGATCCATCCAGTTCTGGTTCTTCCAGTCACACGCCAGATCTTGTACCCTCCAAGGGCCGTTTGCGTTGTGTTTTCCAGGTCCTTCCATGCCCTGCGATCTCTAGGGCAGGAGCCCTAGAGCGAGAAGGGTCAATCACCCACTTTGGCCTCTGGCATCCCCTCAGCCTGTGCCGCCTGACCAGGCAGGCGGTGGAGAGACCAAGACCTAGATCTGGCTCAGCCTAGCCATAGTTTGCGGCCCCTTTAAGGACCTGCGGTACCTAAGCCTGGGGGTTGGGTGGGGAAACGGGAGCAGAGGGCGTGGCTCTCGGGTCAGCGGCGAGCGGAAGCGGAAGCGGCGCAGCGCGCATCCGGAAGTGGATTCCGTGGCCCTGGGACCGTGGTAAGTGGCTACTCCTCGCTCTCCGCCGGGGTTCCTCCGGGACAGCCTCTGCCCCGCTCCGCCGTTTCCTCGGTGTGCGGTCCGCGAGTCCCGCGGATGGGAGCGCGGGGAGGCCGCTGGGCTTTTGGAAGGAGCCCGCCCCGCGGTGGGGCGCGTCCGTGCCGGGGTTCGCCGACCGGCGCCTCCCGCCGCCTGGCGCCGTCAGGCCCGACCCTCAGCGCCGGGGAGCAGAAGTGCGTGCGGGCACCCGGCGGAAAACTCGCGGAGCCCGGGGCTATCTGGAGCCAACGTGGAGGCGTGCTTCCCGTGCTTCCCGCTGTGGTCCTCACGGCCGGGTTCCCCCGGGGCGGGGCCCTTCCTTACCGTCCGAGGTGCGCACGCACACCTGCGTGAGGGTCTGGAAAGGACCGTCCCGTTACTAGGGCGCTTAACGCAGCTGGGAGTGGACGGTGTACTCGGACACCAGCTCATCTCGTTTTCATGGTTGCACAGTATTTTTCTAGTACTGGTTCGTTTATCCTGTTTCCTGTCGATAGAAACGTGGGTTCTTTTCAGCCTTCCCTAATGAAGAGCAATGCTCCTATTGAGGTTAACTATAATTTTTAAAAAATTTTATTTTTTAAAGGTTTTTTCTTTTATGATTTTTTTATATATTATTATTTTTTTTTAGTTTTCGGTGGACACAAAAATCTTTATTTTTATGTGGTGCTGAGGATCGAACCCAGCGCGCTACGGCTTGAGCCACATCCCCAGCCCTGAGTTATGTTTTATTACGTATTTATTTCTGGCTGCTGGGCTTGGATCCCAGAGCTCCACTCCAAAGTATTGGTCCTACCACTGAACCACACACCTGGCCTATTGTCATTGTACTCCAGCAGGAATATTTCTTTGGGCTCAATTCCTCACTGCAGAAGTGCTAGGTCAAAGGACATTGTGTAGATGCGGAAGGTGCCCAAGTTGTCCCCTCCACACAACACAGGAGACGTCTGGTGTTCCTCAAGCTTTGTTTTGCAGATGCGGAAGGCATAAATGGTGTGTTATTGTAGCCTCATTTGAAATTCCTGTAATTAACTTTTTAGAATACTAATGTCAGGTCATTTTGATGTTAGTAGTTCCTACCACTATTAATATTTTGAAATCGGAAATTATGTCTGTGTTATAAACATGTATATATTTAAAAGCCATTTGTATTTCATATTATTTGCCCATTTCTGAATTGGGTCTTGGTGTCATTTGGGGGGAACAATTTATATATTAGGGAAATCAGTCTTTTTGTTGTCAAAAGCGTATCCTCCATCTTTCATTTGTCTTTGTAGGTTTTTTTTTTTTTTTTAATGCCAGGTATTTAAAATTGTTATTAGTGATTATTAGTTTTTCACCATGGCTTCTATGTTCTGTGTCATGTTCAGAAAAATGTTCAAATACAAGATTATAAAACACTTGGTAGTTTCTTTTAGAGATGAAATGACTTCTATATGTATATTTTATACATATACATATACATGTAGATTTTTTGTCTAATATTAGAAAATACTTCTGGTAAGGAGCAAAACTTATTTCCGAATCACTTGCTTTGACTTAGTTTTTCCAAAAACATTTTGTCCTCCATTGTCCTATTGCGCGCTGAGGCTCGACTGGCCCGTTTCCTCAGCGCGCTGGAACCCCACTGCCTAGCTACATATGTCCAGAGGACCTTTTCCCCTCCTTTTCTTGGGCAGGTTTCTTTTTTGTCAGTGACACTAGGCGAGTTCATCTTGTTTCCCTGCCCTGTTTTTTGTTGTTTTTTTTTTCTCTAATTGGGATTGCTTAGATTTGTAGATTAAGTTGCAATAAAAGTGCCATCTCGAATACTTGATGCCTTGTACGAAGTACTTGAATGCTCATTCTAGTAGGTGCTCTGTGAGAGAGGAACCTGAGGGCTTCCCCAGCCGTGCATACTGCTGTTTGGGATGTCCTTGTGGCTGGTGTGAACTCGGCTCTCTGTCCCTTCCGTCTCGCTGACAGGCACCTGTGGCACACACATGGCCAGCTCAAGGCACTGTTTTCTCTGGTGCCTGCTCGTTTCACATGAGGCATGGAGTTAAGCTGGACAGTGAACTGCAGACTGCTTGGGTGACCTCAGTGCCTGGGCCCTACCTGGATACAGGAACTCAGCCCTCTCCCTCGACCCCTTCCCACCCACCTTGATCTGGGTCCCTGGGAAGCCAGCAGTCTATTCCAGGAAGCACCTCCCCCTTCTGCTTCCAATCGCCAGGATTCCTGGGACGAAGGCCAACTTCCAATTCTCTATTTTGTAGATTTTCCAGGATACACTTGTTTATACCCCAATAGCAGCAGTGTCTCCTAGCCCAGAGGCTGATTCATGGGCCCTCCCCATGTCATCTGTCATCGACACACTTCAGACAAGATCTCTGAGGGCAGAGACCAGGTTCTGTTCCCTGACTCACCAGCCAGGTGACCCTGTGGCCTAGGCATGCTGTGGTTCTTAGAGACCCATGGACAGGACCTGTCCGGGAAGACAGGCCCACCCCAGGAGGACACAAGCCCTTATAACTGGCCATATCTGAGGCAGTACCTAATGCCACCACCCCTGGCTCCTCCCTGGGGACCTGAGTGCCCCAGGCTGGCATTCCATCTGGGTTCCAGCACCGGGGGCCACCTGTGCTTCTCTCCTTCATTGGCAGCTACAGGTCGTGGTGTCTTCCCATGACACTGGGCTGGCAGGACCCACACCGTGGTCTCGGCTCTGCCTGGATATAGGGTGGAGAGGTTGGATGCTCTCTGGGGTTCTGTCCCCTCCTCCACTCACAATGGCCTCTGGTTGGACATGAGCCTCTGGGGCAGGGCCACCTTCTTCCTCCTTCAGGTCACTGCTCAGGGCACTGTGAACCTGGTTGCAGGAATGCGTGCTCCCCAGGAAGGGCTGGTCTGTCTGTTCACCTGGGTCCAGGTGCTGGCCAGGGGTCGGGGTGCAGGACTGACCCGTTCACTGTGTTGGTTCAGCCAGGTGGGCCCCCACCCTGCATCATGTGGCCCACCTCCTTCCCATCTTGAAACTCCTGCCACAGACCATGGTGGTCTTCCATTGGCTCCAAGAGAGAAACCCTCCAGAACTCCAGAACACAGGAGCACATGTGGCTTGGGAAGAACACTTTGACACACATCTGCAAGCTGTATACTGCCTCTCCCTGGAACCTGGTTCAGAGCAGGCACAGACAGGGTCCGTGAGTACAAAAGGAAAGGGGTTCTGAGGCAAGGCCCCGGCCAGGGTCACTCAGGGAGTGCCCATCCCAAAGCTGCGAAGTGCACCACTCTAGGTGGTGTCCTTAAAAACCTCCAGCTGGTGCAGTACCACATGCCTGAGGACTGAGGCAGGAGGATCAGAACATAGACCAGCCAGGGGAACACAGCAAGACCCCATTCCCCCAACCCCCGGAAAAGAAAAACCCCCAAACCTCTGTCCACCTGACCCTGTTATAGCTGGATAGTTCTTAGGGCTTTTCATCTTCCAGAGGGTGGGGGGACTGGAGGAGTGACAGGCCTGCTGCCAGTGGTGGTCCAGAGGCCCCACCCCGTGTGTCCCAGCCTTGCAGAGAAGACCCCCTGCAGTTGGCTGCAGCCTGGATGGTGTCTTCATGAGCTGTTTTCCAGAGGTCTGGGCTCTGGATTTGGCTTGAGTTGCTGGGAACATGTGCCAGCAAGAGCTGGACCCTCCTGCCACTGTGGAGGTGCTGGGTGCAGCCTGGAACTCGTAGCATGGTGGGTGGCTGGTGCTTCCTGAGCAGTGTTCTACAGCTCTGTCCTCCATCTGAGAGCATGTGCCCCAAATGGAGGAGGGTGGCCACTTGTACCCTCTCACCAGGCCTGATGTTTCAGCTGCTTGCCATCTTGCATGTGGGCCACCACCACCAGACCGTGGTAAGTACTGAGTTCATGTTGGAGTAGAGATAAATGTAGATGGTTATGGGGATAAGTTATCAGTTATGTAACAAAATGTGCATGATTTAAATAAACCCTTCAGCACCCAGGCCGATCATCCCACTGTGCCTCAGCTGCATGGGTGGTGGGGACTCCTGTTCACTGGCAGGCACAGCAGAAGGAGACGGGTCATGCCTGCAAGTGCTAGTGGTGGCAGGGCTGGGCACTCACTGCCTGGGGTGCTTCTGAGGAGCAGATCTGCCATCTCCTCACAGCTCACTCACACCCACTCACTGCTCCCGGGCTGCTGACAGGTTGGGAGAGTCTCCACACACAGAGACCCGTGCAAAGAGAAAGCAGACT